TGTGTTGGACGTTCCCCTGGTTGGAACTTTGTCTTTTCTGGTGTATAGAAATCACCTTCTGGTCTCAAATTATCTTCTGGCCGTTTCTGAACTGGACGTTCAGTTGGCCTGAATCCAGGTTTTTCTGGAGTGTAAAATTCACCCTCAGGGCGAAGATTGTCCTCAGGTCTAACTTGTGTTGGACGTTCCCCTGGTTGAAACTTTGTCTTTTCTGGTGTATAGAACTCGCCTTCTGGTCTCAAATTATCTTCTGGTTTCTTCTGAACTGGACGTTCAGCAGGCCTAAAACCAGGTTTTTCTGGAGTGTAAAACTCACCTTCAGGGCGAAGGTTGTCCTCAGGTCTAACTTGTGTTGGACGTTCCCCTGGCTGGAACTTTGTCTTTTCTGGTTTATAGAACTCGCCTTCTGGTCTTAAATTATCTTCTGGCTTCTTTTGAGTTGGACGTTCCGCTGGTTTAAATCCGGGCTTCTCAGGAGTGTAAAATTCACCTTCTGGTCGCAAATTGTCAGCATGTCGTACTTGTGTGGGACGCTCTCCAGGTTGAAATTTGGTTTTCTCTGGTGAATAGAAATCACCTTCTGGCTTCAAATTATCTTCTGGTTTCTTCTGAACTGGCCGTTCAGCAGGCCTAAATCCAGGCTTTTCTGGAGTGTAAAACTCTCCTTCTGGTTTAAGATTATCAATTGGTTTGATTTGTTCCGGCCTACACACAAATGTGTATTCTTCATTTACGTCAAATGTCATTTCTCCTTCAGTTTTGAGATTGTCTTTTCTTATTATTCGTGTTGTCTGTTCCGCTGGTTCATACGAGATCTTTTCGGGCACTATGAATTCACCTTCAGGGCGGAGATTGTCCTCTGGTTTCTTTTGTAACGGGCGCTCTGTTGATTGATAGACTGGTTTGTCGGGAGTGTAGAAATCTCCTTCCGGTTTTAGGTTGTCTTTATATTTAATTTGAGTAGGTTTTTCTGCTGGAACATATGTTGTTTTTTCTGGCATATAAAATTCACCTTCAGATTTGAGGTTATCAGTGGGTTTGACTGGCAGAGGCCTTATTACATATTGATATTCCTCTTTTTCCGTAAATGTCATTTCTCCTTCACTGCGCAAGTTGTCTTTTCTAATTATGCGTTCCGTTCTTTCAGCTGGTTGGAATGGAATTTTCTCGGGAACTAAAAATTCTCCCTCAGGTTTCAAATTGTCCTCGGGTTTTATTAAAGTGACTTGCTCGTCAATGTCATACAAAAGTTTTAATCGAGATTCTTCGAGATCCTTTTTAGACCAAGTGTTGGACCTTATTCGCTTTTGAGATTCGTCCAGCAAATCTATTAATTAACAAAAAACGCAGTTCTTAATTCCAAGAAAGGATATATTGTATATACTATGGACTTTACCTATAGTCTCTATAATAGCATCCGTCTTCTTAACGCTTGAAGCACAATGGTGGCGACTGAAATGAGTATATTTGATATTTTGATGAAAAATGCGAATTTAAAGCCAATTATAAAGAACAAACATTTCTAAAAACTAATTATTTATATTGCTTACCCACAAGTGCAGATTTCACAAATACACATCTCCGTATGCTTTGAACCAAATGTATCTTTTTTATCGACTCCACGCTAGAATATAAATATTTTAAGTTCAATTCTCATATTCAAGCAAAAAGTTTTGTGCCTTACGATTCTTGAGTCGCTAGTAGTCAGCTTTTCTCTCTTAACGTCGTCAACTTCATCGTATATATTTGTGGTAATATCTTTGCGTTTTGATGTGTTAGTACGTTCATTGGTTATATTTTCACTGTCTTCTGTTATCTGCACATTCTTTTCGATTTCAACAAATTCGTCAATATAAATTGTCTTTTTGGGCGTTTCAACGATTCTCTCAATCACATCGGTATGCGTTTTCTCATCTAGGACTCGCCAATCGTTCAAGCTGGCATCAAATATCTGGAACATTATTAAAAATTTTTTTGCAAATTAGTAATTACTTCGATTTGAGGTATATTTACAAATAGCTCTTAAAAAGGATTTTTTGCATCGGCCCAAAACTGAACTTTGACCCCAGCATATAATGGCTATGTACTATGTATATAATTATCTCAATGAATCTTAGTAAACAAAATTATATATTTAAAGTAGAAGTGAACTTAGGCTTCAATACTACAACTATATACCGAGTTGAGAACATTTTATATACACCCCACTTTTTTTTATACGGTAGATGAAGCAAAAAACCAAAGGAATCTGTTAATCCAGAATTAAGAAAAAGAAAATATAATATAAATAAAGAAAAAATATTTACATAGCTACATACATAATTATTCGTCGCTACTTGATAACAAGCGCAATTGTTTGCGACGAACTGGACTAAAGAAAGAATTCATTTTATTCGGAGAACGGGAAACGGAAGTATTGAGCAATTTGGACCATTTGAAAGGTGCCATGTTAAGGAGCATTATTTGTGTCATGTTTTATCTCGAATCGTTATGTCATCTAATTGTTTAACAAATCCGCGTGCGAGCCTTCTGATTTATCCTTGAAACTTCGTTTATCATTTTAGATTTAGTAAAATAGAGAGGTTGGTATTTTAAATAGGCAAAATTGAACAACCGTCACACGCATTAGGTCACAAATAAGCAATGAAACAAAAATTTGGTTCCAAAAATCGCAGTAGCGAGAGGCAACTGGAGTTAACAAATTTTGAAAAGAGGGCCCTACCCTCTTAATGGTTTAATGTATATATCTTATAAAGCTGTATCAACCGAACTTAGAAGAACCATCATATTTTTTTTTATTTTGCACTACATTCATTGATTTCCGTATTCTAATGTACTTAACCATAATAAAATTGCGTGGCACCATTTTTTCAATGATTCTCATTTTGAGAAAGGATTTGGGTTTGCATCCGTATAAAACTGTTCTCACTGAAGAACTGAAGCCATTGCACCACTGTAGTGAATTTGTTGATTTCGTCTTGGAACAACTTGAAAACGATAACGATTTAAAAAAAATTATCTTCTCCTATGAGACTTACTTTCATCTGAGAGGTACGCTAAATAAACAAAACTGTTGATTCTGGTGCGAAGAAGATTCACAAATTCTTCAAGAACAAACATTACATTCACCTAAATTCACAGTTTGATGTGATTTTTTATCTGGTAGAATCATCGGTCCGTACTTCTTTCAAAAAGTAGCTGGTGATACCGTTACTGTCAATGGAAAATGGTATAGATCGATGTAAACAATTTTTTTATGACCGCAATTGTAAGAAGTTGATCTTACCGGTTGATTATAATGTAATTATTTAACATCATTAGACTACTTCTTGTGGAGTTATTTGAAGTCATTGGCCTTTAGTAAAAAAAAAAAAAA